CAAACAAACAAACAAACAATTCATTAAGTACTCGTACAGTTTTCTTGATTTTTGTAGAACGGTCAGATTTTTGTAGAACTGATTTAACCTATCTCGATCTTTTTATCTGTTGTGTTGACAGAAATGGAGTCTTTCACAATTCTTTATAGTTGGTAACCTTCTCAATCTTTTGGTCTGTTGTGTTGAAACTGAGGCTTTCATTATCTAGTTATAGATTAATAATGATCACCAAACGAAAGCTTAAGTTAGCGAATAAATGGGTGCCCCTATGCTTAATAGGTGATCATTTTAACCATTTCGTCCCAAAGTTGGCAATGTTCGCGTTCTTCTGTGAATTGCTAAAGATAAAGTTTTTTTTTTAATTATTTTTGTTCCATAAAAGCCGCAAATATTGATAAACCCTTATAATCCAGTATTTCATCGGTTCATACATAGGCCACCAAGTTAAGAGCTTCTGGACATTTCACCCTGTATCACTGCTACAGAACTTGTATAACAGGATAACTTAGCTTAGAACGGGAGAAGTACACATTATAGTACAGTTAAATCTTGAACTAACTGTTATGTAGACAAAAGTGGCAGTTCACAACTTCCACCAATCAAATCAACAAAATGCAGAAACTGTAAATCAGTTTTATTCTGAATCACAAACAAACGTGAAAACTTAAATCAAATTTTTGTATATATGTATTTATTTTCAAAATTAGAATTAACTGTGCTTGTTTTTTTTGGGGGGGGGGGGATTAAGAACGAAGCTACACATTGGGCTATCTGTGTTCGGCCCACCACGGGTATCGAGACCCGGTTTCTAGCTTTATAAGTTCGCAGACATACAGCTGTGTCACGGGGAGGGGGATTAATTGGCTTTTATTTTCAATGAATACGAACACGTTCTTATCAACATTGGGTCATTTAGAGTTTAAGCTCCTCAGTCATTTTGAAGGAAACGTTTATAGTACCGACTCACAACAAACTGGCCCAGCGGTATGTCTGCGGACTTACAACGCTAGAAACCGGGTTTAGATACCCGTGGTGGACAGAGCACAGATAGCCCTTGTGTAGCTTTGTGCATAATTAAAAACAAACAAACAAACTGCCTCAACATGAAATTTTAAATTATTTAACATTTCTCATGTAGTGTGCTATAGATATTTCAAATTACTCAAACAGGTGGTTCAGTTTACAGCATACATCGGAAAACGTCATTCCAAGTAGCTGCTATTATTTCAGGTTTATTGATTGATTATTCTTTCATTCCTTTATTTTATTATAATAGCTTAATAAAAATGTGGCTTTCAACACAATGTCATACGCCTCATTCAGAAAATATAAAGGCATTTAGTTGTTTTAAGTTAATGATTAATCCAAGTGAATTTTTCGTTTTAGGTCTTTATCAACCTAAATCTTTCCGCAGTTCTCAGCTTAATCCTTTATTAGTTCAAGTTTTAACGCTATTCTCAGTTTGAGTCATTATTTGCTCAAAATTTACTGCTATTCTTAGTTCGAGTCTTTATTAGCTCAAGTGTTACCGTTATTATCAATTTTAATTTTATTTGCTCAACTTTTGCCGCTATTTTTAACTTGAGTCTTTATTAATAAAGCTCGAGATTTTCCGCTATTCTCAGTTTGATTATTTATTAGCTCAAGTGTTACCCCAATTCTCACTCTTATTCTATATTTGGCTGGAGACGGCTTGAATGGGTCATGAAGAAAAACTTTAATATAAGTTTAACATAACAGCAAATGTACAACATTTCGACAAGGTTTTGTCATCATCAGGTTTTTCTTCATTACCCATTCAAGCCGTCTCCAGCCATTATTAGTCTCAAAGTGGGTTCCTCGTCATCGAATTATTCTATATTTGCCCAATTCTTACCAGTATTATCAATGTGAGCCTTTATTTGCCCAAATCATATCTCTATTCCTAGTTTAAGTCTTTATTTGCCCAAATCTTACCAATAATCGTAGTTTTACAAGAGTTTCCGGTGGCTACTTGGTGTCTTACTGGCACATTGTCGTCGAGCATGCAGATCAACAGATTAGGAGATGACGATTTTATGTCGTCAAGTTGATTGTGCTGGACTTTTTTAGACGGTGATGGACCAAGTAAGGCATCGACCGAGAAGGCACGAGCTTTTGTGCTCAAAAGAGAAGCAGTAGATTCAGTTGGCCTCTTGAGGGTCATCACTGACCTTTGTCCGAATCTGAACTTCCAGGACTGTACTATAATCATCTACAAAATAAGATTACGAGCTGTAAAATAAGTTCACCTCAGTCACAACTGATTACCAGATTTACACTCTACTTGTATCTCTTATTAACCCAAACAGATATCCAACACACTTTGGTGTAACAATTGTTCTGTCTACACTGTTACTTACCACCTAAGTTAAGAACTCAAACCCACGTGCTATAAAGGGGCGTTCCTGGAAGCTCCGCCTACCAATCGAAAGTTCGCACTATTTAACCCAATCTTACACATCTAGATCTATGGGTCGTAAAGCGTATGGTGTGAAAGTTTATTAGCATATCAAGGAAGAAGGTGATAGGTCGAGTTTTTAATCAATTAAAGCAACAAAAATTAATTGTCAAGCCTGTTTAACTCGCATTACAAGAACAAAGTACACATATAAAATATTGATACTGGCACAACCTAGAGCTTATAATGTAAACGATAAATGTCTGGGGAAGATTCGAAAATTAATACATAAATAGCTATGTTTAGGCCATATCTTACGGCCTCTATAAATGCAATATGATCCTAAAAACGTTAGGAGTTTTATAACACAAAGCTGATAAATGCGGCTGCTGCTTTTGTCTAAGACTGTTTTGGAAATTTTAGACATAGCTCACACATATTAGTATTTCTGTTAATATGTATTCTAAAATAAATTTGCTGTTGTGTGTATTAAATCCATAGATCTAGGGTGATTCTCGCGACTTATCCAAACAAGCAGTGAATAGAAATTTTAATGTAATTTGATATTTATTTACGAAAAATCATTTGCTTACCATCATTACATTTGACTTTGACTTACGTTAAACATTTCTTAATTAAACAATGGTGAAGAAAAACAAACATACTTACATTATATGATACATATTTGTAGAAGCATAAATTTTCCAAGTATTCGTAATTTTACTGAGTATCGCACACACGGCCACGTTAGAGATAGCTATATATGGTTCAGATTTCATTAATCAGAAGGAAAGTTAGTCAGTCGGCTGCACCCAACACCAGAAAGACTTTGTCCAACTAAATAACAGGGTTCACTATCACTCTTATAAGGTACTCACAGCTGAGACGTGCAGAAAGACTTTGGAAAGCAACATCCTGACGTAAAACTTGGACCTTTCGATCTCCCGATCGACATGTCAACGACTACGTCATGTCCAATCTCTACATGAGACAGACCTTTTTGATGATTTATTTAATTAGACTAAATTACTCTTGAAACATTAAATAATTTCGATTCGCTATGGAAATTGCACAGAGCTCATTTATATTATGAAGCAAGAAGTCGGTAAGCTAGGAAATGATGTATATTGTTACGTATCTGCTTGTTTATTAATTTCAGGTATAAATTCTTTCCGAAGAACTTCAGCGATACAAGTCCCTTCTTGATTA